TTAATATGTCGATAACCCATATTGGGTAGTCAATTGAGACAGGTTACATGGATACACCGAAGTATTTTAATTTATTGAACTTTTGTTCTGAATGAGTCTGGAGCCTTGTTTTGGTTGACTCATTGCTGGATTTACACCATATATGTTTATTGAATCTATAACTCTTTTTTCGGTCTGTTGACCAGGTAGATAGATTCTGTAAGGTTGAGCGTGGCTCTTAATGTCATTTGTCCAGTTATTCTTTGAGAAGGGATTGATAATGGTTCTTAAGTGGATTTAAGGCCGTTAGCCCAGTGGCTCTTAGAGTAGGATTGAAAATGACACCGAAGGTGGAAGGTTGAGCATTGCTTGCTCTTAATACTACTAGCCCAGTTGCTTGAGAGGTGGGAACGATAGTGATTCTTAAATAATGTAGAATCACTAGCCCTGATACTTCTCGAGTAGGGAACGATAGTGGTACCGAATGACCGAGGTTGGGAGTGCCCTTAATGCATCTAGCCTAAGAGCTCATTGAGCAGTGGATTGATAGATGCACCGTCGAGTTGATAGGGTTGAACTTTTCGTTCTTAATGTTCTTATTCCATTGCACAAAAAATCTTGAGTTTGCAAGGTGCTTGAATGTGTTTTAAGCCTGCAAGGAAAGACCCTAGATGTGCTGGGAATGTGTATTTTATACACAGACAGAACACCTACGTGAGTACGAGTGGTGGCCTCCTTCAAGGGAAAATTGTGGTGTAGTTTTCCTGAAGTACTCATGAGAGCCCAAGGTGTAGGCCAAGATTGGCGGAGTTGCTTAAGCTCTAAAGTCAAGGTATGTGTATTCAAGGTCCCTTCCTCGCTCCTAGGAGTTCAAATCTTAGGATACTCACTAGGGAAGTGTTGAAAACCTTGTGCACTAATGTGTTACTTCAAACCTTTGGATACTAGCATTTAAGTACTAAGACTTTCAATTACTGTTCAGATTTCATGTTGAAGATCCGCTCGCATTAGTGGGGGATTGTTGGAAAAAGTAATGCAAACGGATGACTCGCGCCCGATCGGGCGGAGGTGGTTAAGGAAAAATTGGGAACTCTCGCGCCCGATCGAGCGGGCTTCGCCCGACCGGGCGACGGACGAGAGTTTTTCTAAGAGAACTCTCGCGCCCGATCGGGCGGGCTTCGCCCGACCGGGCGGCGGACTTGAGTTTTTGACGAGCCCGATCGGGCGGCTTCGCCCGATGGCTCGCCCAGGATGGGGATTTCAGATCGCCCGACCGGGCGCGACACTTCGTCTGGAGAAGCTCAATCTCGCGCCTGATCGGGCAGCAGCTTGCCTGATCGGGCCCGCCTTTTTCCTAGGTCGGTTTGCTTATGTGTTTCCTTTTTCCAGGACTCATATAATTACGAGTCTTACTTTTTCATGAGATGATTCACTCTTCTAGCCAAAAACACAAACCTACCTTTTAACGTCTAAATAGTTTTTGAGCAATTCCACTCTTCGAGTTCGGGTGCACGGATTACGGAGAGAGTTGCGTTAAACTTGGGGGGCGTGCGTCACTAGGAAACTTGTACCGGTGGTGGCGTATTTCGCTTCTAAGGCAGTGGATTATTGTTCCACGGCGCGACTGTGAGTTTGGGATCTTCAATCCAGGAATTTTCCCTTTCATCTTCTCTTTTTTGTTATTGGAATCGACAGGTATTTTACCAACACACTCGACCAGGGAGCTATAGCTCCAGTTTACCCATGAAAGCAGCAAGCAAGGGGCATCGTAGCACGTCTTTTGCTTGGCCCTCGATTCCATCGAACATCTTCGTGCCACGTCATCTTCTATCGTCCAATCGTTTGACAACTTGTGTAATTTATATTTTACTTTTCTTTAATTATATTTAGATTAGTTTTAGGATAATATGAATAGTCCAAGGGATATTATTTTTCCCTTATACATTTTTATACTTTTTATTTTACGTTCGTTTTAGCTTTCTCTTTAGCCCTAGTTTTTCATGGACAACTCCATAGATTCCTCTATGGATTTGTCCTTGAATTTGTAACTTTAATTTATAGAGGTAATTATATTTCTTTACTTTAATTATGCTTTCTTTATTATTTCTAGTTTTTATTATTTATTTCATGCTAGAGTAGTTTATTTCTAGGGTTTGGGAATCCATGTTTATATTATGAATCTTGATTGGTATTTTTAATATTTTGATTATTGATTTCTCTAATTGATAGTGTTTTATTGTTGATCTTGCAACCTGATCAATTGTTTGATTAATTTTTTTTAATAAGAGTTTGAATCGAAAGATGTTACTTTTAGAGGCTTACCTACAATTAGCAATTCTGATTATGTTAGCGACCGAACTACATATGTTGAATTGAGAGTGTTAAGTCTCGACCGTAGGCTTAGCAATTGCTCTAGATAATTGATTGATTGAATTGTTATTGATATTTGATAGATTTAGAACTATAAACATGGTGAACCATAACCCTAGGTCTTTTTATTAATTATTTTATCCCTCTTTTAATTTAGACTATTTTTCTATCCCAATTTCGTGACATAGTTTAGTTTCTCCAATTTCTTAGAGGTTAGATTGAATACCATCTCTCTGTGGATTTTTTGACCCTGCTTACCCTACTACATTGTTATTTGGTGTTGTTAGGAATTTATTTTTGACGGGTGTAAGACAACCTATCAGGCCCGGAAACTCCAAAAAATTTCAAAAAGTGTGGATATTACTATATTAGTCTTCAATTTTTGAATTTTTAAACTTTTTTTCGTCCGGAAATAAAAATTTTCAAATTGTTTACCATGGTCCCTAATACCCTCCGGAAGTCCAATTGGGTGGATGGAACCATCCAATTTGTCTTTAAACAACCAATTTACCGGTATAACAACTTGCACCGATTTCATTAACTCGAGCTTACCACGAACATTTATGACACCATATAATGATTAGGCATGATTCCAAACGGCATTATATGACCCCAAGATATATCCTTTATATTTTCGAAGCTTTTCGACAGTGCGTCTCGAAATTTCCAAAATTTCTCAAAAAGCGTGGATATTAGCCTTCAATTTCGGAATTTTTCGACTTTTTCGCTCGGAAATAAAAATTGCTGAAATGTTTACCATGGTCAGTAATATCCTCCGGGAGTCCAATTGGGTGGGTTGAACAAACCAATTTGCCTTTAAACGACCAATTTACCAATTTACAACTTGCACCGATTTCATTAACTCAAGCCTACCACGAACATTTATAACAACATATATTGATCATACATGGTTCCAAACGATATTATATGACCCCGAAATATATCTCCTAAAATTTCAATGCTTTTCGACACCGGACCCCGAAACATTCGAAATTTCTCAAAAAGCGTGGATTTTAGCCTTCAATTTTGGATTTTTTTTTACTTTTTTCGCTTGGATATAAAAATTGCCGAAATGTTTACTATGGTCTCTAATATCCTCCAGGAATCCAATTGGGTGTGTGGAACCATCCAATTTGTTATTAAACGACCAATTAATCGGTTTACAATTTGTACCGATTTCATTAATTCAAGCCTACCACGAACATTTATGACAACAAATAATGATCATATATAGTTCCAAACGGAATTATATGACCCCGAGATGTATCCCATAGAATTTCAAGACTTTTCGACACCGGGCCCCGAAACCTCCAAAATTTCTCAAAAAGCGTGGATATTATCCTCTAATTTTTGAATTTTTTGACTTTTTTTTGTCCGGAAATAAAAATTGCCGAAATGTTTACAATGGTCCTTAATACTCGATGGGAGTCTAATTGGGTGTGTGGAACCATCCAATTTGCTTTTAAACAGCCAATTTACCGAGTTACTACTTGCATTGATTTACCGGTTTACACCGGCCAATTTAATTAACTTGCACTGAACCCGTCTTGAGCCGAAATTGACCCTAACCCGTTTTAACCTGTCAAAACCCAAATTTAACCCGACTTGTTACTAACCTGACCTGAATTCAGCCCGTCCCGTTCCTAACCCGATCCGAACTCAACCCGACTTGTTATTGACCTCTCCCAAATTCAACCCGACTTGTTATTGACCCTACCCGAATTTTAATATACCTATTATTTACCCGACCCAAAAATTCAACTCTTACTAATCCGACTCGAAATTAACACGACTTGTTATTGACCTGATCTAAATTCAACCCAAATTGTTCTTGACCCGATTTCAAATCACCTTAAATGCAATTTAGACCACCTTATTATTGTTGATCAAAGCATTTTGTATAGGGAGACTAAGTCGGTCCAGGCCAGCAAAAGAAAGAAGCATCTTCCGCAAATTTAAGAGTTAAATATAGTATATATTTGTTGTATGGTCAAAGGAGATAATTATCTTCCTAAATTATAGACTATAGTTCCCTAGTATATTGTCATATATATTATAGTCAAAGGAAATAATTAGCTTGATAAAAATGATAATTATCTATTTATAATTAGTTGAACCCGAATATGACCTGACTTGGAAATGACCCAACCTGATTGTATCCTGCAAATTATTGACTTGAACATAAACCGACTTGAATCCGAGAATGACCTGACTTGAAAATGACCCAACCTGATTGTAACCCGCAAATTATTGGCTTAAACTGAACCCGAGAATGACCCGACTTGAAAATGACTCGACTTGATTATAATTAGCAAATTATTGACTTGAACCGAACCCGACTCAAAATCGAGAATGACCCGACCTGATTCTAACCCGCAAATTATTGACTTGAACCGAACCCGAGAATTACCCTAACCCGTGTTAACCCGTGAAAACTCGACCTATTGTTCACCCGACTCGAATATAACCCGACTTGTTATTAATCCGATCTAAACCCGACCCAAACCTGATAAGAAGTATGACCCGACGTGATTCGACTCAAGCATGACCAAACTCAAACCCGACCTGCATAGGTTATGGAATTAATTCGAATTGACCCGACCCAAACTCGGCTCGTTTACCCGAATTGACAGCTCTAATTTATACATTTATTGATTTATACTCCATACATTCTCTTAGTGTCAAGTTTTGTATTTTGTTGTCTATGTTCCACATTGATTAAACAAATTACCCAACTCGATTCCATCCGCCTTTTAATTTCATAACTGCACTTTTCAACAATTCAAGTAGTTACACTAATCTCAATTAATTAAACACATTATCCAACTCGAGTAATTTCATATTAATTCCTAAAATGGGCTTTTTTTTTTTCTTTTTTCTATTTCTTTTTCTTTTTTTTTTTTCTTTTTTTTTTGGATTTTGGAATGGATAGAAAAGTTAGTTATACTTTGATTCGAAAATTGAGATAGTATCTCTAATTTAGTGGGATTCTCAACAACCCTCTAAAGAAAAAATCTAAAGAAAAAAATAAATAACATATTTATCCTAATAAATACATACAAATTACATATTTATCCAAATCATAATTACACTCAAACCTGGAAAAATAAATAACCAACTCCGTATAATTCTTCAACTCTGATCAAAACAAAGCTCAGAAAACCCGGCTTTTCAACACACAAATTACCAAGAAACACAAACAAGATGGAAGAAGAATCAACAACAACAATGTTTGACAAAACATCAGAGATTGAAGAAATCCTAGACTCCGTTGATCTAAAGTTCAACAGCTTCAAGAATTTCGACATCACTTCCGTCCCTCCAATTGATCACCACTTCATCTTAAACTCTCGGCCGCCTTTGGACCGACAATTCATGTATTCTTCAAGAAGAGTAGTCAAGGAACACGTCCAACTAATGCGTAGGATCAAGCAAGAGCGAGACGTGCTCGAAAACAACCTCTCTAAGTCCATCTTTGTAAGGTCTTATGAGACTAGATTGGATTTGATGAGGGCAGTTATCGTCGGCTTACCGAGTAGTCCTTACGCCTACAGCTTGTTCATCTTCGATATTTACTTCCCTAAAGATTACCCTTCCAAACCTCCGCAAATCTTTCAACACCATAATCCAAACCTTCTCGATTGGAAACCTACTTTGTTGTCGAACAATAACAACAAAAGCGTTGGTTCGGGCCTTTGGTGGGACCCAGAAACGTCGAATATATGCCATATACTTGAGTATATTCAAGGGAGTGAATTGAGGTTCACCAAGATTTATGACAAACAAGACGAGAAAGATTTCATGTTAACTCACAAGACCATGCTTAGCATCCTTAGGTCACCTCCTAAAGGGTTCGAGGATTTCGTAAAAGGGTATTTTCGGAAATACTCTCATGCTATCTCGATGAATTTGAAGCTGAAGGGAAATTTGAGTGAGTCTCAAATGAATACTGATTTGTTCTTTGAGATGATTCAAGCATTTGAAGGTAATGGTTCGTACTGTAAACATCTTGTATATAAGGTCGAAAGGGTAGTTTCGCAGGAATCGCAGGCTTCGTCTTCACAGCCAAAGATGATCAAAGGTGAAGCGTCGTCTATGGGTGTATTGTTTAAACGTGCATTGTCGAAGACTAATGGCTTGATTATGCATTGGTTGCACGATGATGATACTGATGGACGCCTTGGTTAGGATCATATTTCGTAATGATATTAGCAAATTAGATCTTTTTCTTTTTTGACAAAAGCAAATTAGATCTTAAATGCAATATGTATAGGATGTTTTTTTTCGAGTAAGCACGATGATTTTCAACTGTGGAGTCTTGTTGCAATGTTATATTCGTTACTATCATTAATGATTCGATCTAAAGTCCATCTTAATTAGGTTTTGAATAACAATAGCAGATGAGTCCACCTCGTACAAAATTTTAACGATAAGATAATATCATTATCGTATACAAAATCATAAACAAAAACTATATCAAAAATTGAACAATCACTATAGAGACACCCCCAGTTTCATGAACCCAAGGCACATCAAATTCGATCTTGATATGGTCAGTCCACATGAATTCCACTTCATCACCATTCACCATACATTTATTTGGAGCCTTATTTGTATAGGCCAAGAAAAGTCCTCTTCCTTTTATCTTCATCCAAACAATACCCTCTTCTTTGTATACCAATTCCTGAATTGTCCCTCCACTGTTGTACATATTTGTCAGACCAAAAGGAGCAAATTTGACATTTTCGATGATGTTCTTGATTGGTACAAAACTATAAAGCTCAAAAGTAGATGGGTTTAGGTCAAGATGAATGGGATCAGAGTCATGGCTCATTAAAATTATAGAGTTTCCTTGGTAAAGATAGACTGCATATTCTTTAGCATAGCCCATTTCTAGTGCTTCCAACTTTTGATTCCATTCTATGTCACTAACATGAACTGAACCTTTTATAGCCTTGTAATGTTGCTTGTAGCCCTTGAACCTTCGCTCTTTCCGATCCCAACCCGATCCTCGGCAATTGAATGCTCCAATCACCCCTCCATACTGTCCAAGAGCAAATTATGATTAGAAAGTATACAAGGAAACAAATATATAAGGACTGCTTCTGTTGTACTGTACACCCGGGTGCATATGGTGTGTGGCATAATAAGGTAATAAACATAATGGAATGGAATAGTCTTGGTTACCTTATTGAAGTTCCAAATTTTGAGGACAGTATTGTCGTCGAAAAGAGGACTCTTGAACAAGCAATCTCTGGTGGGAAGGGCAAAGTGCTGGCATATAGGGATAGTGCCATCAAGGTGAGCGAGTTTCTTTAGGAGATCAAAGTCATGGCATCCAAGAGAGTCGCTCACATATATGGGTCCTCCGCAAATGGCCCGTGAGACAGCATGGAAACTAGCACAAACGTGATCACTCGTAAACATATCCCAATCAGGACGAATAATCTGACCCATCCATAAGCTGTTGTAGGAGCAATGGACCATATGTAGCCCCTGTAACCATAGCTCTCCCTCTGGGTCGCCGTATGGATCTTTTCCCCAAAAGTCATCAGCTGAAAAAAAAAAAACATTTTGTGATTTTGTTAATCGTTCAAGTTCCTAATACAAGTATCAGACCGGACCACCAGGCCGTTGCTTAAATAAAATATTCGAAATCAGGATGTGCCTCGAAAATATAGGCCAGATTGATTTCCAATAACAATAGTTATAGATGAAAGCTTACCAACTCTACCCATTGAAATCTGTTTAGTTCCAAGGAAAAAGAAGTCATTGCATTGCTGCATGCTTGAGAGTATGTTGATGCCATTGAAGTTCTTCTTCATTGATTTTGTTAGCCCTTTATAGTAACGCTTAGCAAGCTCAACCCGACCTCCATAATCCTCACACAAATATTCGAGGGTCTGTCTCCCATACATGAGTATAATGATTAGTATTGAGTTAGGCTATATTCGATCAACTATATTCCAAAGTTGAGAGCTGATTTCTCATCACATCAGGTCATATTAAATCAGCTCATCATATTTCAGAAATTATAATATCGTCAGACATCGCCTTTATTATAGTTCTTATACCCAAGCACGAGTAAATTTAACAAATTTTTCAATTAAAAAAAATGATCTCGGTGGTCTAATTACATGAATTCAAATATTCAGGAAACAAAAAAGAAAAAGTAAAAAATTCAGATCACATAAAATTTGAACATCTAATTTAAAAACCAGATAAAAAAAACAATTCGCTTTGATAGAAATTAAAGTATATACTAAAGGGAAACATGGAAAGACTTGTACTTACAATAATAACATCCACTTTAACACCTGATATTCCTGCACTAGCTAAGTATGTGTGCATAGAATCATAGAAGGTGGTAGCTTGATCAGGATGGACAAGTCCGATTCCTCCTTCGGCTATCTTTACTGAAGCAGCATCCTCCATCACCCCATCAAGCCCAGGGGAGATCCTAATTCGCATTACCTTGGAGTCGAGATGGGTAGCTTCTGGCCTAACACCGCCCCAAGCACCACAAAGTGCATGCCATACCCAAATGTCATCCAATTCCTTAAACGTAGTCCTAAGATCTTAAGTAAAAGCCTTCATACCATTATATCCATCATATATGCTAGTATTATCTTCCTCAGCTTTATCTTTGAGCATCTCCTGCAATTCCTGCATCAGTTTCTCTACCTTAACATTCAGCCGTGGTAGATCTGCTAGCATCTTAGACTCAAAAGCCTTCTTCCTAGCTATCTCGGTCTCCCTGATCTCAATGCTTTTAGCAATTATCAACTTTGGTCTCATGGGATCAAAGGATGCAAAAGCATTGGTAGAAACTAAAGATCCGGCCTTGTATTTTCTGAACTTCTCTCCCTCCGCAAGTCTGTAAAGTCTTGCTGTCATCTGTTCCCGGCCAAGGACAATGTCCTTACAGTCTTGAGGAGGTACATCGCTATCGAAACTGATACTTTGCCACCCATCATCGATGATCAAAAACTTAAGAGGAACACCACCATCAGTGAAATCTTCAACTCCACACCATGCACCTTGAGGATCCACAGTCAAGTAAAAAGCATCCCAAGTGCACCAACCAAATCTATCTATAATTGAAGGGGTAGATTTCTCTTCTAGGAGCCTAAATGTGTTAAGGTGAACCCTAATAGCACTACAGGCCTCTCTCATTATGTTGTATGGGTTATCACTAACATGAATATAAGCTATGGCCTTGAAAGAAGATGATTTCACTAGGGTAGAACCACTCTCAGCACGGATCATGACATGCCCATGATCCCCTGGGTGAAGGGCAGATCTAAAGCTACCCTCAATTAAGGGCACAATGAGAACATATGACTTAATCTCAGGAACTTCGAAGAGAATCCATTGAGTCTCCATTTCTAAATCTGATCCACTAGTTCCCACCCATTGGGAACACCACCATGCTTTGAACCTAAAAATGGTAAGAAAATTCCTATCAGTAAAACTACCTATTGAATTCATCACTCTATCAGAAGGCTCCTTTACTTGAAAGCCCAAGAAACCTCCCCTGTAGGATATGGACTTGACAAACTGAAGTAAGGCAGGAGGTGCATCAGAATCAGAGGGTTTACAGAGAGCTGAGTATTCAGTGAAAAAAACATTGGTTGGGATGTCTGAAAGCAAACTCACACCTTTCACTCGAAATTTCCTATCATTTGATAAATCAAAAATATTTTCTGAATGGAAGGGTGTAAGGACATCAGGATGTAGCAGGTCATGATCATCTGGCTGGTTCATCATTAGAAGAAAAAACTAAAAAGCACCGCTCAAAATGTAGAAGCAAAATTTTTATTATGTCTACTTTTTTTACTCACACAGAAGCAAGAATCTAGGACTAAACAATAGCGCCAAAGTTAATTAGAATAAAGACTGCAAACTATTATAACCAGTAACAAAACCTCTTAGAACACGAAAGTAATACAGAATGCAATGAATCGTTTGAAACTTACAGTGTAAATCTGGTAGCTAGCTGGTTTAGGTGATGCAATATTAGTATATTACTACATATGATAAAATTTACTGTGTACTTTGCATATAATTTATAGAAGATGAGGGGAGAGAGTTAGAAATCTTAGCAGCATAAACAAATTTTAAAATGACATGACTTACTCAACTAAACATCTAAAATTTCGTGGGAGTAATACATTTTCCCCGTTGTCGTAAAAGACATGGTTGAAGACTTGAAGCTTGAAGGTCTAACTACTCTGACAAATCAACTGATGTTGACATAGAACGTGAAAGTCATGAAGAAAATACTTGCATATCCCCAAAATATACTCATCTCCATGCAAGGCATGTAATTAAATATGCAACATTATAAAAGTTAACTATAAAAGGGCAAAAGGCATCCAATACTATTAATAATTTAATTTCTTAATGAAGCATGATATGTAAGCTTGGTCACTTCCAAGAGGAGACCTATTAAACCAAAAAAACAATTAAACATTTCATCATGCATAAGCATGATATGTTAACTTGGCCCTTCAGAGAACAGGCCTATTAAACTGAGAAATGGCTCCTCCTATAAAACTATGTTGGGCACTAACATCGTCAAAAGATACATGAAAGACAATTAAATAAGTCATCAAGCATATGTCACTTGACAAACAATTACATTTAGAGGGGAAGAATGTCCTACAGAATGTCAATGTGATTAATCATAAGTGAAGCATGAACGCAAAAAGGCAAAGCAGAGTAGCTGCTAGATATGGAAATAAGTGTGGTTTGCTGCTGATATAAGCCCCACTAAATGATAATTTTCAAAGGTAAAAATTTGTGCTATTGCTACTAGGTGCTATACAACACAACCTAAGATAGTGACACTTTAGTATGAATCCTGCCACTGGGGAAGTGAAGCAACAGTTTCTCTAATACTCCCTCCATCCCTTACATTATGCACCATTTGACCCAAAAAGTAGGTCCATGGTGCAAAAATCAAAGGGACAAAGGGAGATAAAAACTAAACAGAAGAGTTCCAGACAATTGAATCACACAATCACACCCAAAATCTTCAACCACAAGTTCATGTAAGATAGTAACATATACATGATCAGGCTTAATCTCAATTTGCAAAGAATGCATCATAAGAAGTCCATTATCTCAATATGCTAAGAATGCATAACACAAAAGCCACATATATTCTGAATTCCCTAAGCATGCATATCACAATAACCATGGTCTCAGTTTTTTAAGTACGCACAGCACAAGATCCACATATAATCTCAATATTCTTAGCATGCATAACACACACTAGGAC